GAAGAGCAACACTAAGGGAATTTCTATCTCTTGAGAGTAAACTTACATCTTTTTCAGAAAGACTGATTTTCAACAGCAAAAAAAGAGAGAAAATACAGGATGATACTTGGGGCTTCTCATATATCCTGTATTGTGCAATCAATTCCTGGTTCACAGAATTTTGCAATAGATTCAGATGTTGAGCTCTTCTATTTGTAACTGCCTTACACAAAGCAGAAAGAACTTTGTAACGTGTAATTGGTGTCTTGTTATGGTTCAAATGTATTGATTGCCCTGTTACATAACATCAAAGATTAAGCAAATCTTGCCATGATGTTGGTAGATTTAAACATTCCTATGGCTAGTGTTTGGGTAACAGTTGAGCAAATGTTGAGCAAACTCTCCACAAAAGTGAAGTATTTCTTTCTAAAGAGACAAATGTAAAGAAAAGCATATCAAGGAGACAGAGGATAAATTTAGGATTACAGATAGTCCTCGCTTAACAACAGTTCATTTAGCAACTGTTTGAAGTTACAACGGCACTAAAAAAGTGACTTATGACTGGTGCCCGAAGTTAGAACCATTGCAATGCCCCCATGGTCACATGATCACAATCCAGCTTGGCAAGCAGCTCGCCATTATGACGGTTTTAGCATCCTGGGGTCAAGTGATCACCATTTGTGACCCTCCCAGCTGGCTTCCGGCAAGCAAAATCAATGGGGAACTGCATGATTCACTTAACGACCACATGATTCACTTAACAACCAAAGCAAATCATTTAATGAGTACCACAAAAAAGGTAAAATTGGGTTGGGTCACGTGATGATTCACTTAATGACTACATTGCTTAGCGACCTAAATTCCAGTCCCAATTGTGGTAGTTAAGCGAGGACTACCTGCATTAAACTATATACACTAATACATCAGAATAACAGTTTTCTCTTTTCTCTGCAGTATCAGAGAAGTGCCTATTTTTTTTTTTTACGTTTAGAAAAGGCCCTTCTATTAGAGAAAATTCAAGATTGTACAGAATCAGCAGAGAAACTGATATGAGTAGAAATGTTTGAAAGAATGAAAAGTGGCACATAAATGTTACAAACAGAAGGCCAGCCTCCAAGATCCTATTCCAACATACACACGTTCACTATCTCATTTCAAAATGTTGCATTTAGCCTTATATAGCAGCTTGACACAAACTCTGGTGACTGTATTGCTTCGTTATGTCCCACAGTGAAGTGGCAACTTTTGGAATATCTGAAACCTCCATCTCTGGACAGTGCTTCAAACTTTGTGTACTCACAGGTGAGGTATGGATAAGGCACCACAACTATGAACACTCGAAGCATGCTGAGAAAGGGAGGGAGACAAATTGGCCAGATCAGATTGAATGTCAAGTAGTTTTATTTAAATAAGTGAATAAAGTATACATTCATAGGATCGCTATCCACTCCCTCCAGGATAACTGAGGCAAAACAGTTTTAAAACTGTTTTAAATTAAGGCTAACTGGGTTTGTGGCTGCAATTCCCAAAACTTCCAACATCTTAGCTCTGCAGGGTGGAATTCTGGGTGTTATAATCCTGACCTCCAGCATATCTAGAGGGAAGCAGGTTGAGGTAAGGTTTTGGGGACAGGAAGCCACAAACAAGAACATAGGTAAATCATAAGCTATAAAGCTTGGCCTACAATTCTCTGTGTCACAGATCACACACTTATAAAAAGGAATGGGGAAGTTCACAGAATTTTAATTGCACAGCAATATTGGTTAGGTTTATTCTAATAAAGGTAAAGGATCCCTTGAGTCAAACTTGATTCCTATTGGAATTTCTTTTTGATCACAGAAGGAATTTGTTATCTTCTAGGATATTTTCCAACTTCCAGTCTACAGCCCTGGAATTTCCTGCTGATATCCTATTCAAGTACAAACCAACCATGACTCTCCTTAGCTTCCAAGTGTAGAGAAGGTTGGCCAAGTATTGCTACTTGCTGAGATTTTTTATGTTATAAAATTATATATTATTTATCTGTATAGAGTGAATTGGTACAAGAATACCGGAGGGTGTTTTGAGACATCATCAATAAATTTAGGGCTGAGATGTAAAGTAAAAAACTGCAGTTGACATATCAAAGTCTTAACCACAGAAAATATTTGCTCTTGTATATTCACCCTGTCCATGTCAGGTGGACAAAATCTCACAGAATGACCTCTTTCAAGTGAAGTTTGTTCCATGTTGATTTTTTGCATGGTTGAGGGTACTGGTGGTTGCCTTTCAAACCCTAAATGAGACCAAGTTAAGTGAAGGGCCACTGGCATCAATACAAACATGCCCATGTCCCATGCCATCTCAAGTATCCATCATGTGTACTACCTGGCAATTTCCATAAACAGAATCTTTTCAATAGTTCATCCATCCATCCATCCATCCATCCATCCATCCATCCATCCATCCATCCATCCATCTATCCCCGCAAGAGGAGATCAGTTTTCTGATTGCTGAATTTGATTTGGCTGCAATTTGCTTTGATCTCAAAAGTTTTGAGATGGTTGCTGTTTTCATTTACAATGTTACACTGTACAGTTCACTTTTTAGCAATAATTTAAAAAAAAACTGATTTAGGAAGGGCTTCAGCCTAAAAACAAATGCATACATATCTAAAGAAATTAAGTCATGGGCTGCTCATAAAATGCTTTCCAAATATTTTTGGAAAAGATTTTTTCTGCAAAAAATCTGAGAAAGAAGCCACTGAAAGGGGGCCATAGAACCCCACCCCTGGCTTTAGGCTTCCTCGGAGCAATTAAAAACTGCACCTTTAAAAAAAGTGCTAGGACAAAGATGTGTGGGCAATATTTAAGCGAGCCACTTCACCTGGCAGTTCTAAACCTTCCTGTTGAACTGAAACATTCAGTTCATATTTAATGCTTTTAAATAAATATGCTTTGTTAAATATTGGACAAAAAGGAATGTTTTCCATTTACACCTTGTGATAATGACCATCTCTGATCAATGGAACATCTCAGCAAGGCAACCCTCTGCAAGGAAGACAATTGTGCGAGCCACCGTAGGTCACAACAAGCCTTAGCTAGGCTTCACTTGCAAGCTCACTCAGAAATCCTCTGGTAAGGAATAGCATTTATGCGCTTCTGCATGTCACAATGATAGTCCCACACATCCTCCAGCCCTGTTCTACTTTAAATACTTTACCTTTGATGCTTATTAATTTTTTTGTCCATTTTTGTTATTGTTGAATCCTATCCTACATTTTGAAAAAATATTTTAATTAGTAACTGAAGGAATAATGCCATTTATTCACAGGGAATATATTTATCCTAGATTAGATGCCAGTCCACCTGATATATACATCCATGTTTGATTTCTCTGACTTGATTTGCAAATGAATGTGCTTATCAATTCCATTGCAAAACCATATTATCTTAATATAAGGTAACATGAATGTTCCCTCTGTGGTATCTCTGATGATTTGTATGTGTGGATGAGAAGTGAAGTAATTAACATGTATATGCAAACCTGGCTTGGAATGTTTTCTTTTGCTTTTTTAAATCCAGATAGATCTTTAGTAGAGCTGACAAATTACTTCTGCATTCAAATGTCAAAGCAATTTGTGAATGTTAGGGCAGATGCTCCATGGTTACCTTGCATAAAATTGAATTGTAAATACTTGATTTGAGTGTTTTCTCCAAGCATAATTCTTATGTTCACCATTCAAAAGAAGAGTCGTTGAAAATTGGGCAAAATCTATCAAACGCCACTACTCACATTTTAAAGCAATTTTGTGTAGCTCATACACAGAGGCAACTGAAAAATATGGAAGCTGTTGATTATTCTGTGCATGATGCTATTTTAATTTAGAAAATCATCCCAAGCTAAAGTGATTTCAGCTATCGAATGCATAACACTTCAGCTGACGTGTATCATAATTTTTCAAACAGTGAGTTGCATCAGAAGTGGGGAACAAATTATTTTGTGTATATGATGACCATCAGCCTCCTTAGATGAAAAGTCAGGTTTTCTTAAAATGTGATTTTTAGTACAGCTGATGCATCTGAAGGGGCAGAGCACTGATTCCTAGAGTAATATGGATCCATTTGGCCAAGCTTTGGATTCTTTTATATACATTACAGCTTATCATGGCTACAGATTACAGAATCCTGGTACCTGTAGTTATGTTGAGAACTAGCAATATTGAAAGCTAGCAATCTGAAGATTTTGGACAAAATGTATGACACTGAAACCAATGTATAATTCCCAAACTAATATAGTAAGATGATATGGGTAGATGCAGGGGTCTCTGCAGGGAAAGGGAGTCAAAAAAGGCATGATGGCAGTCATGACCGTGCAGTCAAAATCCTGCCCTTTCTGAATATGCATTAACATCATGCCTATACCAAGGGGCAGTGCTTCAACTGTGCCATTGTGACCACCAACTATTCTGACCTTCCCTGCAGATGCTGCTGTATAGATGAGAGGGAGCAGAGAAAGCAGAAAGCAAAATAAAAGTCAACTTACTAAAGCCAGAAAGGTAGTAGGTTGGTCACCTAGAAACTGGGAGATCAGTTTAAGATGGGAAGATGAATAATAATGTTCAAGAAAACTAATTTGTAGGACCATGTAATACACATAAACATACTTATCATGCTGTTCCCTTCCAGGTTAAGCAACAGTATGCAAAATGCAGAAAAACAGTTAGTAATAAGAAAAAGAAATTGGGTAAAAGTAAAGAATGAGGTTTCCATCAACACCATCCACTACACATCTCCATACTTCTCCATCTGTTACCATACTAGCTTTCACTATGTTCTTCAAACTTCTCACCTTGTTCCTTTTGAGGATTTCATCAACTCCAACAACACAACTTTCCCAGCCCTTCCTTTCCCCTCAACCCATTTACTTTTCTTTCATGTATGTTTTGTGAGTCAATCTTCATTCATTCTCTTCGCATGAGCCAAAGATCTAATCATACTTCCTTTATACTGGTCACTCAGTGGGTGTTGACAAAGAAAAAAATGTGTTTTCTCCACAGCTCAGCATTTGACTAGACCAGTGTTTCTCAACCATGGCCACTTTAAGATATGTGGATTTCAACAGCCAGCATGGCTGGCTGGGGAATTCTGGGAGTTGAAGTCCACATATCTTAAAGTTGCCATGGTTGAGAAAAATTGGACTAGAACATTCAAGGTGAGTCATAATCCAACTGAAGCGAACCCCAGCTCTTTTAGGTTGATCCAGATTTCAGCTGAGAAAAATCTAGGGAGCCAGTTTGGTGTAGTGGTTAAGACGTCAAACTAGAAACCAGGAGACCATGAGTTCTAGTCCTGCCTTCAGCACAAAGCCAGCTGGGTGACCTTGGACCAGTCACTCTCAGCCCTAGGAAAGAGGTAATGGAAAACTACTTCCAAAAAAACCTTGCCAAGAAAATTGCAGGGATTACTCCAGGCAGCAACAAGGAGTCCAAAACTGACCTGAAGGGGATACACACTCACTCTAGGGAAGTCTTAAGCAGCTGCTAGGGCATTTGCACATCTTTACATTTTTCCATCCATCTTCCCATCTTTAGTAAGCATTCAGCCAAGGTATACAAATTCATCTACTAGATTTAATTTTTGCCATTTATATGTAATGTGCAATTGTTTACTTCATGAATAAATCAAACACAACTACCTTGACCTTTAATAGATTAATTTTAAAATCGTTACTCTCCTATCATAAAAGCTAAATTTAGTGCAAGTCATTCAGATTCACATACAACAGAATATCATCTGCTTATAAAACCACACAAACATTCAACCTGCTCAGTGTGATAGGACTAATTGCTCTTTTTAAGGAATGACTCAGGGCTGGAAAATATTTCATAAAGATCTATATCAAAAGAGAAACAAAAAATAACTACTCCATCTCCAGTATTTTTGTTTTTAATAACAGTGAAGGAATCTGGAAAGGAAAATGAATCCTTATAATAGCTCCAAATGGATAGTGTTCAACAATCTGGAAATCTGGCTAATGAGAGTTGTCACCACTAGAGGTCATATTTTAGAAAGAAAAAACCCTGAAGATAATCAACTCCTGGAATTCCCAACACGGTGCCCCTATGTACCTTTGGCATCTGCCAAACTTTCTACATCTATAAGCAATTTTTAATTTCTTTAAAAAGTGAGCAGTTGACATGAGGCAAAGCATCATATTTATTCCAAGAATGTCTCTGGGCCCAAAATGAATCCCATGAGCTTTTTTCAGGTTTAAAGTAGGAAAACAATAATTTTCCAAATACGTAATGCTCTCCTACTGAGGCATACAGAGAAAATAAAAGTCTTTAGAATACCAGGTATTTTATAGGGTGTTCAGTGTAGTTTATAGGGCATGGGACCCACATACTCTTGACCCTGTGACTACATCTCTCCTACAGTAAGGTTCTTCTCTTTTCTGGAATGGATTTTGGATTGTTGATTGTTTTAATCCTTTCAGTGTATGACAGAAGCATCCTAGAAACCTGAGTCAATAAAGCAGTAAATAAATCTCCACAAATAAGAAACACGTATGAATTGGCATGCGATAATCATACAAGAAACTTGTTGCATGCACGAAGCTAAACATCAAGAAGAGTCTCAGCTGAACCTCCTCCATAGCAACCAAATTTTTACACAGAAAGAGAAGTCTGAATGAAGAAACATTGAAACAAGGGCCTACTTATAATATTAAGCTGACTTTGCGACAACTGTTCCTAACAGTGGCACATGATGCACAAGAATCACTCTACCCGTAATTTTTTCACCCTAATAAGTAGTTTTGTTGTTCCTACTATATTAAAATTATAAGTACATTTTCTCTGAACAAGAAAGCATTGTAATTACATAAGCATACATAGAACAAGTGAATTGGAAAGGACCGCGAAGACTACCCTTTGCAATCTGCAGGAAAATCAATTAAACCAACTTCAAGAGGTAGCTGTCCAATCTCTTCTTGAAAACCTCCAGACGGAGAACCCACAACCTCCATAAGTAAACCGTCCCACTGTTGTACAGTAATGTACAAAAGGGCCTTATCCTGATCCATTCCTCAGAAATTGCTGGGGAATGTTCTAGATTCATACTTTGGAAATCTTTCAAAGGAGATCAGCGATATCATTAAACTGACAACAGGTCGCTGAAGGAGCAAGGCTTTTCAGAGTAGTGGAAGGGTCAGATCTGTCCCTCTTGCCTGTCTTCTGAAACCAAGTCAAGTTATAATAACCACAATGCATAGTGGGGTTTTCCACAGACCACAATTCATTTTTCAATGGAGGGCTCGTTCCTTTTTTGCCCACCAAACATTTTTGCCCACCAGTGAGTTTCACACACCAATCGATTACTGCTCTCTCACGGTCCCCCCCCCCAATAAATTAGGGTTAGGATTATTGATCAGTTGTTATGGATGCCCTAATCACAGCAAGGATTTTGCACCAATTAATTATACCCATAGGGAGTGTGTGTGCGTGTGCGTGAAAACTTTTGGACATGAGATTTTTGCACTAGTGGCAGATAAAAAAGAACAAGACCTCAAGGAAGTCATAATTACAGGAAAGTTCCTTCCTCATTAAGATGACCATCAGACATCCTCCCCTTGGGAAGAAAGCAAAAACAAGACAGCACCCAGCATCAGTTCCTTTGGTTTGGATGGCCATGCCGCATCGTGTGCTAGAATGCAATCTGCGGTTTATGAAGTAACGGCAAAAGGAAATTAACGACCTCGGAGCAATGGTTATATAACACAGAGCCGGCCGCCTTTCCGGCTCCTCCGTTACCGCAGTATTTGGTCCGCATCTTACAGAATTCGGTGCAATTCAAGGAAACTCGCACCCACCGACTTAGCCCACCCCCAGCTCGCCCCCACCAGGGGCGGCTCACTCCCAGTCCCCGCGGGAGGTCTGGGTGGCGAAAGGACGGCTCCCGCTCAGATCAAATAGCGCCCACGCGCAAGCCTGCCGCTGCCCGGCACGCCATTCACCCAAACAAGCTGCGGAGCTTACAATTTTTTGCAGCGCCGAG